TCATGTTTATTTAATAAAATATATTAGGAAGGGAAATTTAAAGAGCTTGTCCTGAGTGATAACTTCTCAGGAAAGAATTGGGGAGAGAAAGCTTAAAGATGCAAACACAAAGCTTTCCTTTACACCTACAATTAAAAACTAAGTTGACTGGATACAGGTGCAAATACTTAGACCCCCAAATAGATCTGCCCTTCAGTTTGATCTGTCTTTCCATTTATCTGTGCACAATATATGTCAGGTTAGACAGAGTGCAGGTTGTGGGGATCAAGCCAGGTACTTGCAACCTAAGAGCATAAGCGCACTGCTCTATCCACTAGGATAACACTTGTTGTTGTAAGCTTTCAAATGAGACAAAGTTCAAGGGCTTTGAATACTTTTGTAAAGCACTGTACATTTGACAAGGCTTAAATATTTATTTTCCAAGCTAATGGATATCCTGTGAAAAAGGATAAATAGATCACCAATTATTCAAATGTACACTTTGAATTAATGATTTTTACCATTTCATGTTGTTTTTCTAGTTTATTGGTTTAAATCATTCCACATTTGCACGTTTTGTTTTTATAAACAGTCTTTGTTTGCTCCTCACTTCAGTTCTTATCAGAGCTAAGGACATTTATAGTAGTAAAGAGCAGACATTTACAACATATTACATAAAGTACCAGATTTAAAATCCAAATAACACATAAAAAAATTAAAAGCAAAAACAAGAGCTAAATATTAAAACAGATAAATAGAGATAGAATAAAAAGAAAACAGATTTTTTTTTGTGTTCCAAATAATTTTTATTTCTGTGTTTTTCCATATTATTTAAAGGGTTTTCAGATATTTTCCATCAGTGGAACACACTATCTTCATCCTCATCGTCATAATCAAGTACTTGAATCTGATCTTTCTTGTTGTCCTGTTGTTCTTCCTCTTCTTCTCCTTCTTCATCTTCTTCTTCTTCATCCTCTTCCTCATTTCCTGCTGCTTTACTTTCAACTCTCTGCTGAAACTCCTGGTATATCCCATTCAGTGCTTTCGCCGCCTCCAGGGACACTTTCAGATTCCCTATCACCTCCTGGTCTTCGTCCACACTGACAACTACAGAAAGGCAAATTACACATTTTGATATATTGTATGTTGTAGTCTACCAAATTATTTTAAGAATGTAGAAAACTTCTTCTTAAATAGGAATTCTAAGGTTCCCTAATGTCACTTTTGTCTTTATTATTTTTTCTCTCACAATATGAGAGTGGAAATATCTCCTTAGTAATACGCAGAAATAAACTGTTAAATATGTTTAAAACATTTTATCACTCCCCCCTTTAAAACCCACAGCTACAACACATACTGTCAATTTGTTGTTCAATCACATCGTTTCCTGTGAGCAGCAGTTCCTGTAGATCTAGGAATGCGTGTCCGACATCCACACACTCCTCTTCATCGTCCATCGGCTCACTGACCACTGTGAACTTTAACCTTATGTGGCAGAAAAAAACAAAATGATAAGGCACTAACAATAAATTATACTAAAACATTAAACACATAACATGTCACATCGTAAAAAATAAAGTTCTAGTTAGAGGTTTAACAGCAGCCTTAATTTGAGCTGGACGTTTTAAAAATGCTTTTGATTCATTCTTTTTGCATGATAGCATTATTAAAAGGTTAAAAAAAATGGTTATTTGTGGGCAAGAGTTGGTTGGATATATTTCAGATTTTTAAGAATTTTATTTCATTCACTCACAGTCAAATTTATCTACCATACTTATATTTGGCTAATAGATCCGTCCACAAGGGGAACTTTAACCTCAACCTCTTTGTGTATATCTGCCACATTTGTCCCCTCTTTCTAGCTAAGATAAAAGGTCATTTAAACTGGTTGGTTCGCTGACACCAGACATATCATTAAAAGCAAAGTAACTTGCTTTAGTCATCCAGAAATTAGTTTCTTATTGTGTTGGATAATTTTTTTGTTGCAGCATTCAGTTGCATCCGGATTTCTGAGGACTTCAACTAAGATAAAAGGAGACTGGTTCAGATTTTCACTATACCATGAACCGCCAATGTTAAAGCATTTCACTTTTTTTTTTTTTTTTTATGACATAGCTATGTCTTTTTTTTTACCTATTAATTTATTTTTTATCACAATGAAGCAAGGGAGTGACTGCCAGGCTTCCTTCCATAATATCAACTTTCAAACTTGACTGAAATGTACAGCTGCACAAATGGAGAGTCATATTAGACTTCTAAACACAATATTTATAGCCCGAGAAGATAAAGATTAAATCACTTAACCAAAACTTAAAGATATATCAGGCTGAGGCTGTCAAACAAGTCATCATCAATTTGCTGGCAGCTGATGCTCAGGGTCTGCTTCCCTTCCACTGGTAGAGACTCCATAAACCCCCTACATTCTTTAATTTCAGATCAATGAATGAATGGATGGATGGATGGATGGATGGATGGATGGATGGATGGATGGATGGATGGATGGATGGATGGATGGATGGATGGATGGATGGATGGA